CGAACCTCGTAAAATTCTCGTGTTCTTTCGTTTTCTTTACCCGTTTTCATCAACAATTGGTATCAGATGTCAGGAGCAAAATTTGAAGTCGCGAAATTCGATGGTCAGGGTAACTTCGGATTATGGCAAACGAGGGTGAAGGATCTATTGGCGCAGCAAGGGATCTTGAAGGCTTTGCGACCTACAAAGCCGGCGTCGATGGATGAGGAAGATTGGGAAGAATTGCAGCAGCGAGCGGCAGGAACCATACGATTATGCTTGGCGGACGAGGTCATGTATCACGTCATGCATCTATCGTCTCCAGACGAAATTTGGAGGAAGTTGGAAAGTCAGTTTATGTCCAAATCCTTAACGACAAAACTGTATCTGAAGCAGCGGCTGTATGGGCTGAAGATGCAGGACGATCACGATTTGGCGCAACACGTGAATGTCTTCAATCAAATCGTTTCTGATCTGGCTCGGCTTGATGTGAAAATTGAGGATGAAGACAGAGCAATGATTCTGTTGTGTTCGTTGCCTTCCTCTTACGAACACATGGTGACTACTCTTACATATGGGAAAGAGACTATCAACGTTGAGGAGATTACTGCAGCCTTGTTGGCTCACAACCAGCGGAAGCAGAATGCAGGGGAAAGCTCTCAAGCCGATAGCTTATATGTCAAGGGTAATCGAGATCGTGGACGGAAGCCAGAGAAGGCAGGGTCCGGGAAGCGGAATTCCAGATCCAAATCCAGGGATAAGAAGACGATTCACTGTTACAAGTGCAAGGAGGCGGGACATATGAAGCGAGACTGTCCGAAGTTGAAAAAGCAGACTGATGAGAAGCGTGATGGCTCATCCAAGTCTGTGAACGTGGTCGAGGATGATACTTCTGATTGCAGTGAGGGTGATATGCTTTCTATTTCAACGACACAATTGACGGATGCTTGGATTCTTGATTCTGGATGTTCTTATCACATCACGCCAAATAGGGAATGGTTTTCGACGTACAGGCCGGTTAATTCTGGTTCGGTTTATTTGGGTGATGATCGATGTTGCAATATTGTTGGTATTGGTGATGTCAGAATTAAGATGCACGATGGCTCCGTTCGGACGTTGAGTGGTGTTCGACATATCCCAGACTTGAAGAAGAATTTGATTTCCTTGGGCACTTTGCACAAGAATGGTTTTATCCCTAAGGCTGACGAGGATAGGGAAACCATTCGGATTGTTAAAGGAGCATTGACTGTGATGAAAGGCAAGATGACTGCAGGGAATATCTACAGATTGTTAGGGAGTACCGTTGCAGGTGGAGTTCACTCTGTTGAGTCCTGTGATGATACGACAAAATTGTGGCATATACACCTTGCTCATCTTAGTGAACGTGGTATGGTAGAATTACACAAGAGAAACTTGTTGCATGGTGTCAAAAGCTGTAAGCTCGATTTTTGCAAGTATTGTGTTCTTGGTAAACAGACTAAAGTCCGTTTCAAGACTGCGAAGCACACAACTCAAGGGATTCTTGATTATGTGCATTCTGATGTATGGGGGCCTTCCACGACATCGTCTTTGGGTGGATCTAGGTACTATGTTACTTTTATTGATGATTTTTCACGGAAAGTTTGGGTGTATTTTTTGAAACATAAATCTGAAGTTTTTGAGAAGTTCAAGCTGTGGAAAGCTGAGGTAGAAAACCAAACAGGACGAAAAATCAAGTGTTTGCGGTCTGACAATGGTACGGAGTACACAGATTCACAGTTCCTACAATTCTATAAGGAGCATGGGATTCAGAGGCATTTTACAGTGCGCAAGACACCACAACAGAATGGTGTTGCGGAACGAATGAACAGGTCGTTGAATGAAAGAGCCAGATGTTTGCGGTTGAATGCGGGGCTTCCCAAACACTTCTGGGCTGAGGCTGTTAACATGGCGTGTTACCTTATCAACAGATCGCCAAGGGCATCGCTGGCTGGGAAAGTTGCAGAAGAGGTATGGACTGATCATGATGTTAGTTTTGATAACTTACGGATTTTTGGTTGTCCTGCTTATGTGCATGTACCTGCTGATGAGAGATCCAAACTTGATGCAAAATCGAAGGAGTGCATTTTTCTGGGTTACAAGAAAGGTGTCAAAAGATTCAAGTTCTGGGATCCAGTTGCGAAGAAAGTTGTGATTAGTAGAGATGTCGTTTTTGATGAACAGTCTATGTTGCAGCAGAAGCAAGACACGACAGTGGTAGATTTCGAGCAGTTTCCAGTTGAGAAACCAGAAACTTCTCAACCGACTTCTGGTGGTTCCACTACGGATGATTTGCAGGATTATAGTCTCGCCAGAGACAGGGTGAGACGGACGAATATAAAGCCTCCGAACAGATTGGGTTTTGAAGACTTGGTATCTTTTGCACTTACTGTTAGCAGTGATGATCCAGTTACTTTTCATGATGCCGTTACTAGTCAGGAAAACGACAAGTGGATGGCAGCCATGGTTGAGGAGATGGAGTCTTTGAATCACAATCGCACATGGGAGTTAGTTCCCCTTCCTGAGGGTAAGAAGCCGATTGGTTGCAAATGGGTGTATAAGAAGAAACCAGCAGTAACAGAAAAAGAGGGGGAGAAGTTCAAGGCTCGTTTGGTAGCGAAGGGTTTTTCACAGCAGAAAGGAGTTGATTATGATGAAATCTTTTCTCCTGTGGTCAGACACACTTCAATCCGAGCAGTACTTGCATTGGTGGCTAGTTGGGATTTGTATTTAGAGCAGATGGATGTTAAAACTGCTTTTTTGCATGGTGATTTAGAGGAGCAGATCTACATGCGGCAACCTGAAGGTTTCACTCAACCTGGAAACGAGCATTTAGTTTGCAGATTGAAGAAATCTTTGTACGGGTTAAAACAGTCTCCGAGACAGTGGTATAAACGGTTTGACTCCTATATGATCAAGATTGGCTACAATCGATGTGAGTATGATTGTTGTGTCTATGTTAAGAGCCTTGATGATGGTTCTTTTATTTTTCTATTACTGTATGTTGATGATATGTTGATTGCTGCGAAGAACATGGATGATGTTATCGGTTTGAAAACTTTATTGAGTCAGGAATTTGATATGAAAGATTTAGGTGCTGCAAAGAAAATTCTTGGAATGGAAATTTGCAGGGACAGAGACTCAAGGAAACTGCGGCTATCTCAACGGGGTTATGTTGAGAAAATGCTAGAAAGGTTTGCGATGAGCAGCGCGAAACCAGTTAGCACTCCATTGGCGAATCACTTTAAGCTCTCATCAGAACAGTGCCCTAAGACAGATAAGGAAGCTGAAAATATGGCAAAGGTTCCGTATTCTAATGCTGTTGGCTGCTTGATGTATGCGATGGTATGTACTCGACCTGATTTAGCTCATGCTGTTAGTCAAGTTTGTAAGTACATGTCTAAACCTGGTAAGCAACATTGGGATGCAGTCAAGTGGATCTTTCGGTACTTAAAGGGTACTGTGGGACATGGAATTGTTTTTGGGAGTCAGCGGGATAATCCTTTGGTTGTAGGATATGTGGATTCAGATTATGCAGGTGACTTGGATAATAGAAGATCTACGACAGGGTATGTGTTTACTCTTGGTGGAGGGCCTATTTGCTGGAAGTCTACTGTTCAATCTGTCGTGGCACTATCTACAACTGAAGCTGAATACATGGCAGCGGCTGAAGCTGCAAAAGAAGCTTTATGGCTTACTGGTTTAGTGAAGGAGTTGGGTGTTCAACAAGGTGGAGTTCAGTTGCTTTGTGATAATCAAAGTGCTATTCACTTGGCTAAGAATCAGGTGTATCGTGCTAGAACTAAACATATTGATGTAAGGTTCCACAAGATCAGAGAGTTGGTTGCATCTGGAGAGGTTTTGTTTCAGAAGGTACATACTGATGAGAATGCCGCTGATATGTTCATCAAGCCAATTACGACAGACAAGTTCAAGCATTGCTTGGACTTGTTGAATGTTTCGAGTTGTTAAAGAAGCAAGGTAACCCAACCCACATTGAAGTTTCCAAGGGGCAGGATATTCGCCAAGGTGGAGATTTGTTAGGTATGGCTCATAAATATACCAGTAAAGAGGACAGGAGATGGAGCGGAGTGAGCGAAGCGAACATCAACTGTCCTTACAAAGAAAGTCTTGTTGTGGGGTTACAAATTATGTGGGTTGGGGGTGCGGGGACGTAGCCCCCGCGGTACGGTACAGGGTTGATTTTGTAATTATGTACCAGGGTTTTCTATTATAAATAGAGATGTAACCTAGACCTAAAATATCATTGAATAAAATTCTAGCGCCGCCTAGGCACCGAGGACGTAAGCACATTGCCGAACCTCGTAAAATTCTCGTGTTCTTTCGTTTTCTTTACCCGTTTTCGTCAACACATGCCATGTTGGTTGTAGTTCTGATAAAAAATTTAGACTGGTAAGCAATCAATTGAATTTCCACTAGATCCTCTGTATGCTGTTCAATCAATTAAATTATTAAAACATATACGAAGATGACAGAAATGAGCAATTTTTTTTTAGTATTTTCATTTCTATTGCCTGCAAGTTTGAATTTTGTTCTTCCATTTTCTTATGTGCAGACCATACCAATCAACTTTGCCAGGGAACATTTGATGAAAAAGCTTTGTTCTGTCACTCTTTCCCACTCAAGTGGGAAAACTTGGATTGCTACCTTAAAGCAAAGACAGAGAGGGAAAAAGCTAGATTGGGTGCTACAAACTGGATGGAGAACTTTTGCACAGGATAACAATATCCAAGTCGGTGATGTTTGCACCTTCGAGCTAATAAACAGTATTGAAATATCATTCAGAGTAGTCATTTACCAAGGCCAGCAGGCAAATTATAGTCGGTCATTAGTTTCAACTGATGTGGTTCGTCAGGCGAAAAGGAAGGCTCCATCATGTGCAAGTCCGAGCTGCCCTGAGCCCTTGACTGATCTCCATAAAGCAAAAGCTCTTCAAATAGCCAGTGCCTTCAAATCAGAAAATCCATTCTTTGTTGTTTTACTGCATCCATCACATGTCAATTCAAATAGATTGGTGAGTTTTTGAGTTGAAGCCTGTTGCTGGTCATTTCCATGTTCTTATAAGTTTTAGATGATATAATGCACATGAAAAAGGCTGAAATGTTAAATTTTTCTACCTCTCCTTTGCATAAATAACTAAATTGACATGTATGTGTTTGAACAGAGTATACCAGCGCATTTTGCGAGGCAATATCTGTCAAAGATGCACAAAGAGGTCATACTTCTCCTTTCAAATGGCAAATCATGGCCAGTAATATGTTATCAGTATAGTACTGACGGACCAAAGCTAAATGTAAGATTCGGTAATGGTTGGCGTAAATTTTCCTTGGATAATAATTTAGAAGTCGGTGATGCCTGTGTCTTTGAACTGGTTGAGGGTGCTGAAGCCTCGATGAACATAACCATTTATAAGAAGCAGGCTGATCAGGACGCAAATTTCGGCTCATCTATGGGTAAGTAAGATCCATTTCGAGTACTATATATATATACACATACATATTCATCCTTCATTTCATAAGTTTAAATATATGGATGGATTTGTTTGTCAAAACACAGATGATAAAAGTAAAGAGCAACAAGTTGAGTTCCATGAAAGATTGGTGATTAAAACTGAAGAAATCTGTTTGGATGACATTTTGATGTCAAAAACCAATTCTCCAGGCAAAGCCTAAGAAGAGGCAACACAAAGCTATCAAACTTTACAAGAGAATGAGACAATCCAAGACACCAACTGGTTGGACCGATTGATGCCAGTGATTCAACAAATCAAACCATTTTAGAACTCGTTAGTCGCGCATTATAACTGTCCGCTGCATCATTACGTTAGAATCTTTTCCATAGTTAACCATGACAATGTAACATGTTTCTGATGCTGACCGTATGAACATTTCATCTGTAACAAGGTGCCTTCAGAATTTTCCTGTAAAATAGTAGTCTAAGGGACTTCGCTGAAACAAGAATCAGTGCAAAAAGTTGGCATGTGTATTAATTCTTTTCCTTCTGTGGGTAGGTATGGGAAATGATGGAGGAGAAAGCACTCAACTATCTCCTTAAGTTTTTATTCAAGTCTGGACATTTATTTACAGTAACTCTAATATTCAGTAGCCCATTCGGTATGCTTTGCAAGCGATTCCATGATAGTTTTCATGATTGTAGAGAAGATTATGGTTCCACAATGAAGCTTAAAGGAACAACATTTCTTTTTTCTCAGGGAAAACAATGCAATCAAATGAAGCTGTCTAAAATAAAGTTATCTTTTGTATTATGATCAACCTATATTCCCAGTTATTACTTATTTTTTTAGCATGTTTTAAGTTCTCAAAGGTACATTCCGGGGCAGTTCAAGTATGGCTTCTTCTTCTCGCCAGCCAGGGCAGCGACCATTTTTTTCGCAAGTCATATCAATATTATTAATCAAATAATGTGAATGACAAAAAAGGAAAAAAGAAAAGAAAAGCCAGGCACCTAAATTCTAAGATACAGAGATTCTGTAAATACCACCTATAAAGTACATAACTAGGAAAATAATCACTAAAACTAAAGAAGTGCATAACAAGTAAACTGACCTAGTTCACCACTATGCTTTAAACATACATATTTATTGTCAATGAGTTTCTTTTAATAGTTTAGGCCGATTAAAATGTAGAATATGTTCATATTTTTTTAGTCATCACAATATTTTAAAATGTGGGTATAAAATGTATAAATCTAATATTTTAAAGATGTTGTTTCTTGATTGTCCTTATTGCACTAAGCTACAAGCAGGCCTCTCTATACCCTATTTTCTCGCAAACCTTAACCAAGATGGAATATTTATTTGTAGGTAAGCAAAATCCGACTCGGTTAAAAAAAAATTCAAGTTCAAATACAATTGTAAAATAAAATTTCAATAACTCAAATAATAACTTGAATAACTCAAAATTTTTAATAATTAGTAGATTGATTTTTAAGTTTGAGTAGAGTCCATCGAATTTGTATAATATATGTATATCACATATGAAAACAAAATATGAAGAAATGTACATGTATTGTATATGGTTATAAAAAACTATTTAAATTGGAATAAAATAATATCATAATATTATAAATATATACAATTAAATTTAAACATAAATTCAAAAATTTGACTTGACCTAGTTCGAATTTATAGACTTGAATCGAAAAAATTTCAAGTCAACTTCGAATTGTAAAATAAGACTGGTCAACTCGAATAACTCAAAATTTTTTGACCCGACTAGATCGAACGCTCGTCCCTATTTCCAGGCATCTCGTATTTTAGTCGTTTCACCGAAGCAATAAAAAGAACTTCGCATGTCAGCTCATATTTTAGTATATGCCAACCCTATTAAATATTCATTCCCTAAAGCCTGCTCCCACAGTTGATGTTATAATGGGACTGTTGCAGGTGAAACCCTAATAACCATGCAAACAGGACTTAAAAATTTGACATGTATACTCATTTGTATGTTTAAAGTTGCCAGGCTTAAGCTTAAGGCTAAATGTTTGTTTTCTTCCAGGCCATCCGTTCAAGTATGTGGGAAAGCATGATGAAGGCTAGGGATTCCTCAGACTTAGTTATCAAAGAGTGGTTTAAACTGATTGATGATAGCAAGAAAACCAATGGTTTTAGCATATAATTTCCGAAGTACAAAAGATTGCAAAAAAACCTGGAATCCTTATGAAAGTAACAAGCAAAAAATTAAACACCTATCTTCCTGGTAATCTTTAGCAGGGTTTCAAATCGCGGTCGTTGTCGCGTTTTCGGTCATTTCGGGTTTACCGTGATTATGGCCGTCGCAGACGCTATTGCGGGTGTAGCGGGTAACTCGAACAGCGGCGAAACCACTATTTGGCTGGGCGCTATCACGTTTTCGGACCGTGATTTGAAACTCTGGTCTTTAGGTGTTAGAAGAACACACAGGATCTGCATTTTCTTGTACACAAGATTTCTTTCACAACTTTAATATACTTGAGGAGCCAAGTTAGGGTGATCTAGATTCTAGCAGTCTCTGAATCATGCATTTCCATCATATATTACAAATGAATGTAATGAATTATGTACACAGAAGAAGCTACACAGCATTGTACAAAAATAGAGTGCTGTATAAGGTATGGAGATTTTCTATATATTCCATTACGACTTGTATGCTCGTACCTAACGAAGCACCATAGCATGTTTACCTGACGCAATGCCGAAAATGGACTTTATGCATAGTCTTACAGCTGCAAGGTAAGTAAGCGCAAATGTCTCTTGTGAATTTACACGGCGTAGTATGTACACTGGCATTGATGACCAAATAAACCTTTTCTGACCTGGAAATTAGACGTCAATGAGAGAAGGAACTTGATTCTGTGCTATAAAATGAGTTTTCAGTTAAGCTGAAGTTGACTTTCTCTTCATCCCATTTTAGAAGCTCCCTTGCAAATTTAAGAGCAGCATCAACACTGTTGGGTTCCAGTCCTTTCACGTGGGAAACATACAACTTTCGCCCGTTGAGTGAAGAATAAAGCCTCTTGAACTTGAATTTGTACGATTATTGTTAATGCTATTGCTATTTGTATTTGTACGATAACGACTGATCAAAGGGTGAAAATCATCAAACCACTCGCACCGAGTCAATGGAACCCGTTCTACCTTTTCCTCGAACACATTGAATTTGTTCAATATTAGAAGGATGTCCATCTGATCAAATGTTGGATGACTAACTATGGTTTCAAAGAATTTCCTGCTCTTTAAATTCTTATTAGTCCCATCAGCAGAGAACTGGTCATAGTCACTCAAGGCAACACAAAAGATGACCATTCCAACATCTTCAAACATCTCTAGCCACTTGCAATTTTCTCCTAAGCCTCTTGCTTGCACTCTGATCTATTGGTACCTGAGAACCAATCGAAAACTTTTAAGGATAAAATACATTCGACAATAACCTAAAGCATGTGCTTACTATTGGCACTTACCTGGGCAAGGAGTCGTGCTGATCAGGAGTGTCAATATTTTCATCAGCTGAAGATTGGGGAAACAAAAAATCGACACAGGCAAGCCCGTTTGATGAGGTAACACCTTCAGCATAGAGGATATCTAAATCTGAAGGTTCACAGTCTGTTTTCAATATCTCAACAACCGAGAGAATAGTAAAAAAAAGTATTTGAGAAAAATTAAGACAAGCACTGGTCGTAGAGACTATACTGGCACAAAAGTTCAAAAAAGAAAAAGCAGTGCTATACAAGTGCAACCATTAGTACTAGTTGAGATTGCTCAACAGATCTGTGTCAAGAATGGTGACCACTGTAAGGGGTCACCTAACATTATGGACTAGCCAATAGAAGGCAAATTTATTTCTAAATATCCAAATTAGGGAACTCCTGGGTCTTCTTATTAAGGACATAAGAAACGCAAAAGAGAAGAATGTGTACTTCTCCACTTGCCTGGTGAAGCTAGCTTGTGGACCATGCAAGATTCTTTGTTAAACTGATATGGTCCACCATTGGAGATTTTTATTTTCTTCAGAATAACTAAACCTAGTGTTGTACAAACCTTTCACTTAGTAGCACACTGATAAGACCATATCCTCACAACCAAATGGTGTCCCTGTTTTTATCTGTTCATCTTGCAAACAAAGCCTTACAGCCTATATGCTTCATAGTGAAACACAAACAAGTCGGCAACTTCTCCATTTGAGCCAATTAATGTTTTTTTCTAACCACATTCTGATGTACAATGCTTCACAAAATTCTCGAAATATTCAGTTTCATGAAGGAAATTTAGTTATAGCCAGGCAGCATGTTGGAGAGATGGAATGGGTATTCAAGTAACTTGCAGAACTCAGATACGCAAAACTAGTGATATATAAATCAATGCTCTCTGAGAAATAACGACAAATTTAAACAAGAACTTTTGTTTCAAGCATAAACTTACCCGCTCCAGGTAATAACTAGCAACACTGGGTAGCATTTCCAATTCACTTCTCCTGCCGTAAGTTTCTTGAATGGCTGCGTGCTTCCACAGCTCCTCGACTAATGGAGCATATTCAGAAGCCAGTCAGAGAGATTTGAGCCTCGGGCCAAGGGAATAGATAGTTATGCTATCAGCATCATCACTACTTCCTGCCGAAAAAAAAATGAAAAGAAATAATCAGATGCTTCAGATAGCAATACTCATAATCAGGTTCATTATATGCTCATGCTGGATATGAAATGCTCAAATGCCCTTTCAAAAAATTACATGGGGAAATCTGAAGACTTGAATCCGTAAAGATATCCAATATATATAGAAGCTACTTACAAAGAAGCTGTCCGTCAACAGCATAAACATTGACATATTTGAACATCCAGCAAGAGATGGAAATGAACTAATTTCCAGCTATAACAAGCTTGCACTTTTCAAAGTACAACCATTTTTTAATGAGGGTAAAAAGGATGGTTTGGAGAATAAAATCAATATAAAGTCTCACCTTCAGGTTCAGTGTCCTTGGAACTTTTCCACATTTCAGCCAAACTCTTCCTCAAATCGTTCACGGCCCTCAAGAAGTATGCCAAGATAACCATACACGTGGTTTGGATTGTTAATTTTATACTTTCACGCTCATCCTCTGAGAATGGTACATCTTTATAATGGTACATCTTTATATTGTGCATTCCATCTTTAAGCAGGTATCTAACATTAGCACATAAA